TGGCTTTGGCTTGGAGAGCTTGCAGAAGTTTCCCTTCTGCAAGGGGTGCTGGTTGGTATTCTCAATGCCTTGGGATGAGTTTTCCAGCCTAAATCACCACCAACATTGGTGACTCCTCTCCCACCCCTCAAACAAAGAAACACACACGTGGGTTTTTGTGATCTTAAAGTTAATGTTAGAGATCTTCATCCTCTGGGGATCTAATGTCACTGTGCCTTGGTTTTTGAACAGATCCAGTTCTTAAATGAAAAAGATGAAACAGTTTTTGAGCCTCTACCTGCTCCAGAGGAAATAGTGGAAGACAAAGACAGCATCCCAACAAGATTTGGAAACATTATCATGTCAATTGCCAGAACTCTGTGAAGATCTGCAAGACCTTCACCTATATCCCATGTCCTGAATTCAAAGATGTATTGCAAAATTCATCTAGAGGAGAGAACAATTGCTTGACAATCTTTAGGGCATTTGGCAACCAAGCATAATTGGATGTCCCACCACAGGGGACCTCTCCATATTGCCCTGCATGTTGAGTTGATAGCTGTTTTCTTGTGGAACTCGCTCAGGTGCCATCTGTCTTTAGTCAAAGACCTAGAGATATGTGTTCCTGAGGATACAAAATTCTTCCCACCAAATATTCTGGTTTTGAAGAAGACTGAGAATGGGCTGTAGTCATTTTGGCTTTTAAGTTTCAGTGTGAAAGTCTGAAGTTAGTCTGATGGACTTTCCCTTGTTGAATTACCTGCTGCTTTGCCTACAGCTCATAGGAGACCTCTTGCATGTTTATTTTGGCCAGTCTTATGAGTATGTGTTGTGTGTTTTTCCTTATGCAATAAACCTCCCTGGAGTCCTTTGGCTTCTTGTGATTGGATATTTTAGATTTCTAAAATATCAAGGCCGAGGACATTTTCCTCCAATTATTCTTTCAAATGATTTTCCACCTTCAATGTACTTTTCTTCTTTACCCTCCATGGTGTTATGATTCTTATGTTAGGCCCTCTTTACAAAATCCTACCATTTATTGTAGGCTTTGTTTATTCCTCCTTTCCTCTTATTTCTTTGACTGACTTGTTTAATTCAAAGATGTTGTCTTCAGCCCTGAGTTTCTTTTGCCTTGATTTAACCTGAATTTTAAGGAACACATGTGTTTGTTTCTTGCAATGACTTTTTTGCAGCTCTGACATTATACAAAAAAAATTAGTGAATTTTTTTTAATTTCTGGCATTGTTTTAAGTTTCTTTTTGTTGGTTCATTTTATCTTGGCATTTCCTTATTTTTTTAATTTTTTTTAAAATTTTGAGACCAGAGTCTCACTTTGTTGCCCAGGCTAGAGTGACGTGGCCGTGGCCCCATCAGCCTAGCTCACAGCAACACATAACAAAAACCTCCCTGGGTCTCGATGATCCTTCTGACACCAGCCTCCCAAGAAACAACACCAGGCATGCGCACCAT